GCTAAAATTCACAAAATCTTCGCTACTGGTTGTAATTATGGAATTATCTGTCGATGTATATTCTTGTGTTTTAGTTCTTCCATCAGGTAGATCAGTGTGAATGGATTTTTCATTTCTAGGATCTTTGCTGGTTGTTTGATCACTTGTTGATTGTGAATATTCTACAGAATTTGTGCTATAATTCTCAAAATCTTCTCTACTGGTCGTAATTATGGAATTATGGGTCGATGTATAGACTTGTGTGTTAGTTCTTCCTTCAGGTAGTTCAGCATGAATGGATTTCTCAGTTCTAGAATTTTTACTGGTTGTTTGGTGACTTGTTGATTGTGAATATTGTATAGAATTTGTGCTATAATTGTCAAAATCTTCCCTACTGGTCGTGATTATGGAATTATCTATCGACGTATAGTCTTGTGTGTAAGTTCTTCCTTCAGATAAATCTGCGTGGATATACTTTTCAGTTCTAGGATCTTCGCTGGTTGTTTGATCACTTGTTGATTCTGAATAATCTACAGAAGTTGTGCTATAATTCACAAAATCTTCGCTACTGGTGGTAATTATGGAATTATCTGTCGACGTATAATCTTGTGTGTCAGTTCTTCCTTCAGGTAGGTCAGCGTGAATGGATTTTTCATTTCTAGGATCCTTGCTGGTTGTTTGATCACTTTTTGATTTTGAATAATCTACAGAATTTGTGATATAATTCTCAAAATCTTCGTTACTGGTCGTAATTATGGAATTATCTGTAGACGTATAGACGTGTGTGTCAGTTCTTCCTTCGGATAAATCTGCATGAATGGATTTTTCAGTTCTAGGATCTTTACTGGTTGTTGGATCACTTGTTGATTCTGAATAGTCTACAGAAGCTGTGCTATAATTCACAAAATCTTCGCTACTGGTCGTAATTATGGAATTATCTGTAGACGTATAGACTTGTGTGTCAGTTCTTCCTTCGGATAAATCTGCAAGAATGGATTTTTCAGTTCTAGGATCTTTACTGGTTGTTGGATCACTTGTTGATTCTGAATAGTCTACAGAAGCTGTGCTATAATTCACAAAATCTTCGCTACTGGTCATAATTATGGAACTATCTGTCGACGTATAGACTTGTGTGTCAGTTCTTCCTTCGGATATATCTGCGTGGATGGACTTTTCAGTTCTAGGATCTTTACTGGTTGTTTGATCACTTGTTGATTCTGAATCATCTACAGAAGTTGTGCTATAATTCACAAAATCTTCGCTACTGGTGGTAATTATAGAATTATCTGTCGACGTATAATTTTGTCTGTCAGTTCTTCCTTCAGGTAGGTCAGCGTGAATGGATTTTTCATTTCTAGGATCTTTACTGGTTGTTTGATCACTTGTTGATTCTGAATAATCTACAGAAGTTGTGTTATAATTCACAAAATCTTCGCTACTGGTTGTAATTATAGAATTATCTGTCGACGTATAATCTTGTGTGTCAGTTCTTCCTTCAGGTACGTCAGCGTGAATGGATTTTTCATTTCTAGGATCTTTATTGGTTGTTTGATCACTTTTTGATTTTGAATAATCTACAGAATTTGTGCTATAATTCTCAAAATCTTCGCTACTGCTCGTAATTATGGAATTATCTGTAGACGTATAGACTTGTGTGTCAGTTCTTCCTTCGGATAAATCTGCGTGGATGGACTTTTCAGTTCTAGGATCTTTGCTGACTGTTTGATCACTTGTTGATTCTGAATAATCTACAGGAGTTGTGTCATAATTCACAAAATCTTCGCGACTGGTCGTAATTATGGAATTATGTGTCGGTGTATGGTCTTGGGTGTTAGTTCTTCCTTCGGGTAGTTCAGCATGAATGGATTTTTCAGTTCTAGAATTTTTACTGGTTGTTTGGTGACTTGTTGATTCTGAATAATCAACTGAAATTGTGCTATAATTCACAAAATCTTCGCTACTGGTGGTAATTATGGAATTATCTGTCGGCGTATAATCTTGTGTGTCAGTTCTTCCTTCGGATAAATCTGCGTGGATGGATTTTTCAGTTCTAGGACCTTTGCTGGTTGTTTGATCACTTGTTGATTTTGAATAATCTACAGAAATTTTGCTATAATTCTCAAAACCTTCGCTAATGGTCGTAGATATGGTATTATCTGTCGATGTATGGTCTTGTGTCTTAGTTCTCCCTTCAGGTAGATCAGCGTGAATGGATTTTTCACTTCTCGGATCTTTACTGGTTGTTTGATCACTTGTTGATTCTGAATAATCGACAGAAGTTGTGCTAAAATTCACAAAATCTTCGCTACTGGTTGTAATTATGGAATTATCTGTCGATGTATATTCTTGTGTTTTAGTTCTTCCATCAGGTAGATCAGTGTGAATGGATTTTTCATTTCTAGGATCTTTGCTGGTTGTTTGATCACTTGTTGATTGTGAATATTCTACAGAATTTGTGCTATAATTCTCAAAATCTTCTCTACTGGTCGTAATTATGGAATTATGGGTCGATGTATAGACTTGTGTGTTAGTTCTTCCTTCAGGTAGTTCAGCATGAATGGATTTCTCAGTTCTAGAATTTTTACTGGTTGTTTGGTGACTTGTTGATTGTGAATATTGTATAGAATTTGTGCTATAATTGTCAAAATCTTCCCTACTGGTCGTGATTATGGAATTATCTATCGACGTATAGTCTTGTGTGTAAGTTCTTCCTTCAGATAAATCTGCGTGGATATACTTTTCAGTTCTAGGATCTTCGCTGGTTGTTTGATCACTTGTTGATTCTGAATAATCTACAGAAGTTGTGCTATAATTCACAAAATCTTCGCTACTGGTGGTAATTATGGAATTATCTGTCGACGTATAATCTTGTGTGTCAGTTCTTCCTTCGGATAAATCTGCGTGGATGGATTTTTCAGTTCTAGGATCTTTGCTGGTTGTTGGATCACTTGTTGATTCTGAATAGTCTACAGAAGCTGTGCTATAATTCACAAAATCTTCGCTACTGGTAATAATTATGGAATTATCTGTAGACGTATAATCTTGTGTGTCAGTTCTTCCTTCGGATAAATCTGCGTGGATGGATTTTTCAGTTCTAGGATCTTTGCTGGTTGTTGGATCACTTGTTGATTCTGAATAGTCTACAGAAGCTGTGCTATAATTCACAAAATCTTCGCTACTAGTAATAATTATGGAATTATCTGTCGACGTAGAGTCTTGTGTGTCAGTTCTTCCTTCGGATAAATCTGCGTGGATATACTTTTCACTTTTAGGATCTTTACTGGTTGTTTGATCACTTGTTGATTCTGAGTAATCTACAGAATTTGTGCTATAATTCACAAAATCTTCGCTACTAGTGGTAATTATGGAATTATCTGTCGACGTATAGTCTTGTGTGTCAGTTCTTCCTTCGGATAAATCTGCTTGGATATACTTTTCAGTTCTAGGATCTTTGCTGGTTGTTTGATCACTTGTTGATTCTGAATAATCTACAGAAGTTGTGTCATAATTCACAAAATCTTCGCTACTGGTCGTAATTATGAAATTATCTGTCGATGTATATCCTTGTATTTTAGTTCTTCCTTCAGGTAGGTCAGCGTGAATGGATTTTTCATTTCTATGATCTTTGTTGGTTGTTTGATCACTTTTTGATTTTGAATAATCTACAGAATTTATGCTATAATTCTCAAAATCTTTGCTACTGGTCGTAATTATGGAATTATCTGTCGACGTATAGTCTTGTGTGTCAGTTCTTCCTTCGGATAAATCTGCGTGGATGGATTTTTCAGTTCTAGGATCTTTACTGGTTGTTTGATCACTTGTTGATTCTGAATAATCTACAGAAGTTGTGTCATAATTCACAAAATCTTCGCTTCTGGTCGTAATTATGGAATTATCTGTCGACGTATAGACTTGTGGGTCAGTTCTTCCTTCAGGTAGGTCAGCGTGAATAGATTTTTCATTTCTAGGATCTTTGCTGGTTGTTTGTTCGCTTTTTGATTTTGAATAATCTACAGAATTTGTGATATAATTCTCAAAATCTTCGCTACTGGTCGTAATTATGGAATTATCTGTCGATGTATATCTTTGTGTTTTAGTTTTTCCTTCGGATAAATCTGCGTGGATGGATTTTTCAGTTCTAGGATCTTTACTGGTTGTTTGATCACTTGTTGATTCTGAATAATCTACAGAAGTTGTGTCATAATTCACAAAATCTTCGCTACTGGTCGTAATTATGGAATTATCTGTCGACGTATAGACTTGTGGGTCAGTTCTTCCTTCAGGTAGGTCAGCGTGAATCGATTTTTCATTTCTAGGATCTTTGCTGGTTGTTTGTTCGCTTTTTGATTTTGAATAATCTACAGAATTTGTGATATAATTCTCAAAATCTTCGCTACTGGTCGTAATTATGGAATTATCTGTAGACGTATAGACTTGTGTGTCAGTTCTTCCTTCGGATAAATCTGCGTGGATGGACTTTTCAGTTCTAGGATCTTTACTGGTTGTTTGATCACTTGTTGATTCTGAATAATCTATAGAAGTTGTATTATAATTCACAAAATCTTCGCTACTGGTGGTAATTATGGAATTATCTGTCGACGTATAGTCTTGTGTGTCAGTTCTTCCTTCGGATAAATCTGCGTGGATATACTTTTCAGTTCTAGGATCTTTGCTGGTTGTTCGATCTTTTGTTGATTCTGAATAATCTACAGAATTTGTGCTATAATTCTCAAAATCTTCGTTACTGGTCGTACTTATGAAATTATCTGTCGAAGAATAGTCTTGTGTGTCAGATGTTCCTTCGGATAAATCTGCGTGAATGGATTTTTCAGTTCTAGGATATTTACTGGTTGTTTGTTCACTTGTTGATTGTGAATATTCTACAGAATTTGCGCTATAATTCATAAATTCTTCGCTACTAGTCGTAATTATAGAATTGTCTGTCGGCGTATGGTCTCGTGCGTCAGTTCTTCCTTCGGATAAATCTGCGTGAATGGATTTTTCAGTTCTAGGATATTTACTGGTTGTTTGATAACTTGTTGATTCTGAATAATCTGCAGAAGTTATGCTATAATTCTCAAAATCTTCGCTGCTGGTCGTAAATAAATAATTATCTGTCGATGCATGTTCTTGTTTGTTAGTTCTTCCTTCGGATAAATCAGCTTGAATGGATTTTTCAGTTCTATTATTTTTACTGATTGTTTGATCGCTTGTTGGTTGTGAGTATTCCACAGAAGTTGTGCTATAATTTTGAAAATCTTCACTACTTGTCGTAATTATGGAATTATCGCCTACAATAATTTCTGTAACTGTTAATGTGTAGTTTGGTGTGTTAGTTCTTCTTTCAGGTAGCTCAGCGTGAATGGATTTTGCTTTGTTCTGATCTTTTCTGCTTGTTTGGTCTCTTGTTGATTGTGAATAATCAATAGATTCCGTGCTATAATTCACTAAATCCTCGTCACTGGTCGTAGTTATCGTATTATCTGTCGATATATCGCTGAATCTCACACTAGTTCCTGTAACAGTCGATGCATAGATTTGTGTATTAGTTCTTCCATCGGGTAGGTCATCATGAATGGATTTTTCAGTTCTAGAATCTTTACTGGTTGTTTGGTAACTTGCTAATTGTGACTGATCTACTGAAGTTGTGCTATAGTTCACAAGATCTTCGTTATTTTTCGTAATTATAGATTTATCTGTCGACGTATAGTCTTGTTTGCTAGTTCTTTCTTCAGATTTGTTTGAGCGGAAGGATTTCTCAGTGATAGGATCTTTACTGGTTGTTTGGCCAGTTGTTGATTGTGAATAATCATCGGATGTGATATAGTTAATCAACTCGTTATCTCTGGTCGTAGCTATTGTATTATCTCTCGATATATCGCTAGCGCCTACATTAGTTTCTTTAACTGTCGATATATAGTCTTGAGTGTTAGTTGTTGCTTCATATATATCTGCGTGGATGGAGTTTTGAGTGCCACGATGATCATGGGTTGTTTGGTCACTTGTCGATGGTGAATAATCAGCAGATCTTGTGCTATAATCCGATTTTTCGCTACTTAACGTTATTTTGGAATCATCTAGCGATGTATACTCTTGTGTGTTAGTTCTTCTTTCGGATATGTTGGTCTTTATGGATTTTTCAGTGTTAGTATAACCACGGGTTGTTTGGTCTCTTTCTGATTTGTAATAATTATCAGACGTTGCTCCATTACTCACTAAAACTTCTTTACTGGTTTTAGTGGTCGTAATATTTGTTGATTTATCGCTGACGCCTACGTTATTCTCGGTAACTATTTTTGTATATTGCTTTGTGTTATTTTTTGCATCAGGTAATTCAGTGACGATGAATTTTTCGGTGTGAGTGTAACCATGGCTCGTTGTGTCCAGTGTTGAATTTAAATAGTCAGAAAATGCTGTGCTATAATTCACCAAACCACGGTCATTACTGTTCGTAAGTTTCGAATTGCCTATTGTATTTTCTGTAAGTTTAGCATTATTATTGAGCGCAACACTTGCAGTAGTAGCTATTTCAATCCCTTCTGCACTATTCTCGGTATTTGTTGTTTTATAACTTTTCGAATTACTTCTAAATTCTGAATGATCGATGTTTGTATGACTGTGGATTGCTTTACCATCCATTGAGCTTGAATATGACTCAGTATTGTCATTTACTGGGTGTTGGTTATTGTCTTCTGTTATTTTGCGTTGTGATGATGTGAAATAGTCATTGAAGACGCCTGGGTAGTCATTTGAATGAGTGTTACTTTCTTGTTTAGGTGCTTCGTTTGTTGATGATCTTCCATGCCTGCTTTTGTTAGCGGTTTTCCCTGACGTTGCTGTAAAATCTTGGGTTAACATTTCGGTGTTTAAAGCTCCATTGGAGGAGTGTATAATATTGATAGTGTTTTCATTATCTTTATCATAGCTTGTTTTAAAGAACTCTGTCGTTTTTTCTGCGTAACTGATTGGGTGTAAGGAGGTCTTTCCAAAATGTATATCGGTGGGACCTTTATCGGTGGGAGTGACAGGCGATGACATATTTCCTTCGAACTGTTTCTTCGTTGACAGTTGTGATACCAATTCATAGTGGTTCGCCCATATGGGGTTACTCGAAGTAGATGTACTAAGTTCTAGTACTTTATTGGCGTTTTCATTTTTGTCGTAGGAATTTTTGTACTTGGGTGAATGGTTATCGTCCTCTTCCTGTGTGTTGTCACTATCGTCAAACTCGTTCGTATTATCGTCTACCTGTATTATGAAAAAATGTGGATTAGTATTTTTTGTTAAACGATATTTTATTAAAATTTTTAATTTTAAAGTCCCTCAGGATGACCTAAAAACGTAAAAAAAGTGGACAAAAGTGTTTAGAATGACAGAAAAAATCCCCTTCCTTAGAAATCAAAAATCACCTCTATATTGCGAACATTATGACGACATATGTATAAAATTACTTACTTTTGGGTTAAATCCTTTCAGACTATTTTCTATTTCTCTTTTCGTGTGTCTTGTCCTTAGGCCCTTGAATGAACATCGTCGAATTTTGGCCACCTTTTTTAATATAGTACATACACATCCTTGCATTGGAATAGCAGCACATTGCTGGATTTTTCTTAGAATCTTGCCTTAAAGAAAATATTACTGTAGGTATTATTGCAGTATCTACGTCAGAGCCTTGGACTCCAAAAATAAATATAAAATTAACCAAAACTAATGCTTTATGTGGACTTGTTTAATTGGCTTTCGTTACTTCCCAATACATATGAAAAAAAAACGAGTAAAATTAATTTTTATTTTCTTGTAGAAATTATTGCTAATAGGTTTTCTAAAAATTAATTGTTTTGATTATTTGATATAATTTGGCTTTCCCAAAATTAAAAGATTTTAAATGTTTGGGCAACACTGTAAATAAAACAAAAACAATTTGGCACTAAAATTAAATGTTTGTAATTTAAACACATTAAATAAAAAAACTCTTTCAAAAAATTAAACAAATTAGCGAATGTTAAACATTCCGCAATTAGATATAACATGACCCCATCAAATACGCCAGTTTTAAGTTAAAATGAAGTATTAAAAATATTATTTATAAAAGATTGTTCTTGCTGCAGGATACTGTAATATTATAGACTGGGTACTTATAATTTTACCATTTTTTATGGATATACAGGGTGATCTTGTAACTTATCCGCCATATGGCGTTAAAAGTTAGTCATTAGAAATGAAATTAAACTTTACGATTATTACCACTTACAAATTTTATATTAGTTTGTGTCTAATTTTGTTTTGATGCCTAATGATGACCTATTTTTCTATTTATTTTTAACCCGTGTAGTCACTCTAGTCAATGTTTCCATAGTAATTGTTATTGTTGTTCGTCTCTTTTGTCTTTTTATCGGTTTTATTAAAAATTAATTCAATCTTTCGAAAACTGGCATTTAATGGCGAATTAGTTAAGAGATATCTTATGTAAACCGTAAATCTAAATTATACGAATAGGTCAAAAAATAATTATAAAAATTATTTTGATATGATTTTTACAAACAAACATTCTTAAAACTCACCTGTATAATACTCCAAGTCCAAGCAAGCGTACTCAATGGCCTCCCCAAAGTACCTCTTCTCATACTCTATTTGAAATGGGAGTTCTGGTGTGCTTTCGTTGCAATACTGCTTTTCAATTTTCTGAACATAACATTCTCTTTCTCGACATGTCTTACAATGTAGAGCAAAGCCTATAATTACGTAAAATATTTTAAAAAATTGTGAACCATAAATAAGAAGCATTACCACAGTTGAACAAAGGAAACAAGAAAGAAAAGAATACTTAACCTAAGGGTAGCACTTATTTCATTTTTATAGATTTTACATCTCTTTTCTAATTTAATCATACTCGTTCAATGTGTTTTTTTTTGTTCTGCAAAATAGATCGAATATTTGAAATAAGAGTTGCCAAGTGTGATATAATCAAATTTGCGTATATAAACAAAAAAACCAACCAAAAATACCATAATTTGGT